CTGAACGGACAAAGCGAGGATCGTTGCTATTCGCCGCGTGTTAAGATCGATCGCAACGCGTGTAACGATGCATCTCATTAACGGAAGGCGATACGCGAAGGAGGGGAGGAGGAACCGGTCGTGGAAGGGTTATCAAGACATTATTACGATCCTTATACGCAAGATAATGGCCGATGAGAGAACGTGCTGTTGCCGGATTAACGAAGCTATTTGTTGTTTTTCTCGTACGTTGGATGAGATTCGCACGTTGGCAAGCCCGTTAAGAAGCTGAGTTTCTGCTCGAACGTTTTTGCCTGATTGGGTGTTCGTATAGGGTGATCTGGAAGAAATATTGCCACCGTGGCTGGAGGAAATTCGGTCAGGAAATTGTCTTGGGTGTCAGATGCTTGGGAGAAGACGATGGGCTTGGGATTTTTCGAGTGAGAGTTTGGAATGACAGTGTGGTATAGGACCATTTGATTTAGGTTGCTTTGGGTGGATGAGGAGCTCGACATTTTTGTAATAGTTTGAAGTATTATTAGGAGCTTGGAATTTTTAGGCAATAATTTGAAGGAGAAATATGGTCTAGGAAGATTTGATTGGGATTATCTTATGAATTAGAAGCTTGAAATCTGTGTGTGATAGTTTGAAATGGAAATGTGATGTTGAAAGCTTAGATATGTGGATTTAAAAAAGTTTGTACAGATTTATAATGCGATATTAATTAAAAAGAATATTGTTGCAGTAGGAAGTGATGATTTTTTGTCATTTTTCTTTTTATAATTTACGGTATTCTAGTTTGTAATAAGAGTAAAAGTAATTCGGGTTAATATATCATGCTACTTTTAATGATTACAGTAGTCATGAAATATACTTGCAAGGGAAGAAATTACAGTTGAACAGTTGTATGGTAAAGGTGTTAAGTAGCTCTCTTTCGATCTTCCAATGTTAACTTTCACTCGTTCAGATTCGATTTAGGATGGGTGCCGCTAGGGAAAATTTTCTTTGTTGACACACAACTAAATTCGGATATATTAAGAAATTAGTTAATATTAAATTTATCTACAAAAAAGACAAATTTTCTTAATTAGTTTGTATCAGCTGATGTTTCTTTGTCATAGTACATCACAAACAAACAAAAAAAAGAAAAATTTAGAACAAATAAAACTGAATATAAAACAAACGGAAAGATATATATATCAAAAACATATAGTTACAATTAACAATAAAAAATTGTATACAAAAATTATACAAAAACCATCTAGATAAGATAAAAAGTCACAAAAGATTATAATAAAAGGTGCAAAGAAAAAGAAAGAACTAAATAGAGCGTGAATCAAACTGGTGCAACATATGCAGTAGGTTTGCATTGGTGTAGTATAGTTTGTAGGGTTACAAACGCAGTAATTCCTCGTTTCTAACACAAAGATCTAGCGTTCCTCGCTTCCGATGATTTACTATCCAGATAAAAGAGATAAAAATCGGAATCGAGGCTCCATTCCCACGGCGTTCGCGGCTACAAATTATCGAATGCTCCGAGATCCGAGAAATACGGAGATTTGTGATCTGACTGCAAAATCTACACGTGCGCGGTCCCCCTCTGAATCACTAGACTAGACACTTTCACCATGTTCTACGATCGATATCCAAAATGTCGCAGCATACAACTTCCAACACGTTCTCCATATCGTTTCGAACAGTCAAAGTTACAAACACAAACTGATAAATATCAATGAAAGTATTCAACGAAAATCTCGCTCAAACAAGCATCAAAAAACGTAGAAAAATAAAACCCAATGGGACCATCGGGTCACCTATTATTCCCAATAGTTAGAATTAGTTTTAGGTTATGTCGCGTAATTCTAGAATCTTCAATTTTACTTTATTTAATAGAAATTGCGTTATTAAAGAACCTAGCCCAAACCTAACCTAAATTATCACGTTTCACCTATAACCTAGGACCACTCAACAACTCGAGACTGAACGCAAATAATCCGATAGATCCAACCCAGCGTCCACTCAGCTTCTCACCACCCAGATGCAGCAAATCCCGAGGCAATCTCCTGTACGCATCGCACCAACGTCTCAATGAGTCCCAAAATCCCTCCCCGGCGTCGGTTTCCGAAAGCGGCCGGCTCGTACGGTGGCCGGGACCGGGTCCATGTCCGGGGACACCGCGTTACCTGCTTACCAAGCATGCATACGTATCTGTTAAGTCGACGTAATACCGCGGGCCGCATCATTATGTACTCCATAAGTCTCCGGGTCCTATCGTCTTTCCTCGTCTCGCTGTATCCGACTGCTCGGGGCAAAAAGGAGACCAGAAAAAGAGGTTCAAAGCAGGCAGACACACAGAGCTGGTCGGGAAAGGGAGCGAAGAGGGACGGTGAAGGAATATGGAGCCTTCTCGTTGTACCCGGATACACTGGCTGTGGGCCCTACACCACCCCCACCACTACTCCGTTACCCATGGTCGCGTGGTGGGGGTCAGATGCTGGCTGTAGCTCGGCGTAGCGCTCGCCGGAGCGAAGAAAGAGAAAAAGACGAGGTGGGGAGGGGATAGAGGAAGGGGATCTCAGTTTTTCGCTCAGGGTCAGAGGCGTACATCAGCCGAGTGTGCTCGCGCGCGCGAGCTGCTGTAATAGACTGACGATAGGTAGGATTTCTGTGTGTACCAGCGCGGCCAATGAGAGCATAATTTTCTATCCTGTGCTTAATACAGCCGCTCGATCGAGAGTACACGACTGACGCTAGGTAACGAGACGCCAATGACGGATTTACGACGCCTCCTCCATTCTTCCTACTCCTTCGCGCCCCTTCTCAGTCTTCCTGTCTCCGTTTGCTCTTATTGGTTGCCATACTTTTTCGCTTTCTGTTTTTCCATTTCGTTCTTTCGCTCCTTCCAGAGAGCTTGTCTGAGGAGGAACTCCTGGTTTCGAGGAAGATTGAGCCGTGACGGGCACGAGCGGAGCTGCGACCTGGTTGGTCGATAACTAGTGATGACTTCCTTTCGAGATTTAACCTCTTACGCCTATTTCATTCGTTATTTACTATTCCTTTTCCACTTTCTTTTCATACCGTCATTGCAGCGTTTAACCCTAATCAGGTGCACCGAATGAGAAAATTCGGGGCTCGACGATATTAAAATACAGGCCAAATGTGCTGGCCTTAATTAAAGCACTAAGTATGCAGGACGCTTACCGACGTATGATTCTAATTTGCACATGTGTTGGTTTGATAGATCAACGTCGTCTTCTTATAACAGTACCGCTTCCACTCTTCTCACGGGAATGAAGATAAAAACGAACGATTGGTTAGGCAATAAGGTAGATTTCAAACGTCTTCGACTGTCAATTAACCAATTACAAAGTGCAACACTCATAATTGCATTAAATCAGCGAAGAAAACCAGAGTAAAACGTCCTAACCCGAGACATCACTGGAGACTGTTGGATTCTTGGGTCTTGTAGCATCCTGTCATCCTGTTTGCCCAGATATCCATAGTGCAATCTTCGCTCTTGTCCTGTCCAATACCTAATCTTCTTACCGTTGGATTCTTGGGTCTTGCATCCTGTCACCCTGTTTGCCCAGATATCCATAGTGCAATCTTCGCTCTTGTCCTGTCCAATACCTAATCTTCTTCCCGCCACCCCTCTACCCGCAAGACTGGGGTCTATCCGAGCCTATGAGGAAATTAGCCTCGGTCAGTCAGCGAGGGTACGCGGTCTCATAATCGCGATAAAATTCATATCGAAATCCATACTTATCCTTCAAACTCGACCACGTGAACGCGTGTTCGTGGTCGTGGTGCGCGTCGTTATAGAGAGCAGAACGCTCGCGTGAATATTGCATGAGGGGGTCTTCTCTATTCGCGCTTACTGTTACACGAACGCTCCAGATTTGGGGAAGTTGGATAGGTGACGGCCAATTTTGTAAGACCTCGCGTCGCGTTTGGTAATCCGGAAGTGATTACACTACGGCGTATCGACGACGCGACATTTATTCGCGACGTTCGTAGAATAACCGATCGGCTGAACGGCAGATGGACCTCGGCAACGACGTTCGTCGGGAACGAAGGTCGAAGGAGGAGCTCTCGCGTGACTTTTTGCGCAATGACATGTCGATCGCCGTTGATGACGGTGGCCATTGCCACGTGGCACCTGTATAGTTGCCTTGTAAATTATTATCCAACTGTGGCACCGATTAGTAGCGAAATTTTGGATGATTCAACACTTGGGACAAAAATTGGTAGCTAAGAGGTATCGGAGATTCGTACTTACGCGACCAATGAATTTTCTGAGAAGAAAATTCTGTGAGATGATGTTTCCTTGAAGGTACAGACCAGGTGTTCAGTACCATTTAATGGAAATTAGTCGAAGTGGAAGGAAAATTCGAAAGTGCCATTTTAGTGAAGATATGTCTAACACTTTGACGGATGGGTTGCTCGAATTATACGATGGTAACAGATTTGGTTAACTTGTATTAAGACTGTTAATATTGTAATTGTTTTTAAATTAAACAAATCGTTAGATAAGAAGACACGTGGTTTCCTTTACTTGTCAATTTGACAGGTGTCAAATATGTAGAAATAGGTATACAGGTAGCGTCCGTGAATCTAGTGTTAATATTCCTAATACTCGAGGAATCCAAAGAGCTCAAAGTGAAGATCATAACGTTAATTGTTGATTGTTGATTATTTCTTCGAAATGGTACCTATACTTATAACTATACCTTCTTATTTAATTTTTCTCTCCCTGCTTAGGTACAATTTTAACATATCGTCACTATTAGGTATTAGGACTCCTACAACTGACTTATAAATTACCTTAAGTTAATTCATCTTAATAGTATAATTTTATTTTGTTGATCTGAAAGTAGGCCACGTCGAGACACCTGGCTATTTCGTTAAAGACGTTAAAAAGTGGCGGTTTTTAATTAATACCCTATCACAATGGCGGATGAGTAACTATACCTGTAATTAGACGTCGTTCTAAATGATCATAAATGCCTGTATCTTTGCAGATCCGACGAGGATGATCCCAGCGGGTGTAAATATAGAAGGCTGGAGAACGAGAATGTACAGGACAAAGAAAGATTTGCGAGGTGAGTGTCAGGCTCGACGTAACTTGCATGCTCTTCGTCTTACGATAAATGAGAGGGGTCGGTGAACGGGTTAAACGTCCCTTTTTTCTCGCCGGAAAAATGCGTCTTTTCCCGAGCCGAGGGATTTTTCCGAGAGGAAGCATTTGCATGCCGAGCAGGAGGGACTTGTCCCTTGAAAACTTTCCGCCAGAAATCTGATAATGGCCGGGAGGATTACTCCGAGCCCTTTAAATAACGTCGGAGGAGCTTTGGATGTCATTACGATGGAATTTGAAATTAGAAGACTCGCGAAACCTCTGTCAAAGTAACGCTAATTACGAGTTAATTTAGAGAACCGTTCGACTGTGCACCTAGATACCACCCTTTGCTGACCTATGTCCAGTTGGACTCGACTCTCTCTTTCACTATATTCTTCCTATTTTTATTTTACACGGGAAAAATAGTCTTCCACGTTTCAGTATAATCTGACAAGAATCTGTCAACGTAGATACGTCATTTGCTAGAAGAATATGAGAATAGAACGTTTGCAATTAGATTCTTGCCTATGAACTAGTTAGGACCAAGTGTCAAATGTAATTAGTATCTCAAAGGATTAATTTCGTTATAAATTTATTAAAATTTAGGGATGGTAGGGAGAGTAAATAATATGCATATCAGAAGCTACTCTATATCGTTCCATCTTTTGGAAGATCCCCTGGGTTCCAATGGGATTCACCGAATAGAGTCACTACTTGCATCCGCGCATGTAGCCTGAAGAGATGAAAAGAAGTCGAATTATCCAAGCTGGCCGTTTCCTTGATCCTACAAGGAATCCTACTTCGGTTTCACGAAGGCAAAAGACAGAGAAGAACGTTGAGGGAACACGGGTCTCCTTCCTGATACCCGTTGAGGACAGCATTGTTAATTCGTCTCACGAAATCGTGGGCCAATATGTTCCACCGGTACACCCTGTACATGGCCGGCCAAGTACGAAGATACATACATACCTACATGATACCCGCCAATGTGAGTCGATAGCGGAATGGGAAGCCCTCCAGGCTGCTCCAGCGTGGGAACACGGGCCACTTATACGCGCGCACCGTTCGCATAAGTCCCGTCCGCGGCGAAGACACCGAGCATCTCGATCTCGCGACGCGATAGCCGCGTTGACACACCAGGATCCATCGAAATGATATACGACGAACGACGGATATTATGCTGAACTATTCGGCTCGAGCAGTGTACCAGCTTTTGAGGAAGAATACGCGAGTTCTGATGGGGTTTTGTTGGCACAGAATGAGTCCAGGCTCAGGTGCTATAGCTATTCGAGGAATAATAATAGATCTGATAGAATTTTGCGAGCAAGATTGGCTAGGGTACAATAGTTTCTTAAGGAATAGCAAGAGTTCTGGTGGGATCTTGCCAGGAGAGTTCAGGTTGGGGTACTGTAGCTTTCTGAACAGTAATGAGGGATCCAGTGGAATTCTTTGAGAGAAAGATTGGTTAGGATGCAGTAGGTTTTTCAGTAATAATGAGAGTTCTGGTAGGATTTTGTTTGAAGCGTTGGTCAGACCGAGTCCAGGTTAGGGTAAAGTAGCTTGCTGAGAGATAATAAGAGTTTCAATGGGTTTTTGCGAGGAAGGCTGCTTGGCACAGAGCGAATTCACGCTGAGTGGTAGCTTTCCGAGGAATAAGAAGAGTTCTGAAGGACTTGGCGAGATACATTGATCGAGGTAACGTGGATTTATATTTAACTACACGCGTGTGCAGGTCTGATATCGGGTATGGGCTGTGTTGAAGATACGGTAGCAGATTGCTTAGACTTTGAAAGACTCTGATATTTTCGAGCTACCTGTTCTAAATCCCCTCTAGCTTTTTGGACCTTTTTTAAGTAACTTCTATATACACTCCTGATGGAATTTTTACCAAGTGTACTCGATATCAATCAATTTAGAGGAAGAGTGAGAGAGAGAACGCAAACTGTTGATGAGCCAATCCCAATTGAATCTAGACTAAATACCCATTCATAAATACAACAAACAACCTGGAAATGGGGATGAACTCTGTTGGAATAGATATGGTAGCAGATATGTTAAACTTCAAAAGTCTCAGCTATCTTCAAGCTACCTGATCAAAATTCCCTCCAGCTGTTAGACCTCTTTTTAAGTAAATTCTGGATAGACTCCTGATGGAATTTTTGACAAGGTGTAGTTGATGTCAATCAATCGAGAGAGAGAGGGAACACAAACTGTTGATAAGCCAATCCTAATCGAATCTAGACTGAACACCCATTCAAAGATCCAACAAACAACTTAGAAAACCTATATAATTCTAGTGCATATAATTTCTCCAATCTTCAAACCTAACTTGGGCAAAGAAATCTCACCCTACCTCGACCTAAAGAACGAGGAGTTCGCGGTAAAAATGGTGAAACCACCACCTGCAATACGCCAGTTCTGAAGAAGACATCATAATTTCTTCGCGATAGAACTCGGTGCAGCATCAGCATCGCAATTCCATGTCCAAGGGTATACTCGCAGTGGACAGAGAGTCTGCAACCGGGAATTTGCGTTGCCTGCTGTATTTTACATTCGGCCCGGCGCTGGGGAAACTAGAGGGAGTACTGATTGCAGTCATGGCCACCGTACATACGCGTTTCATGGAAAAGTTGCGGCGTCGGCGATGTCGCGGCCGCTCGGGTACCTTACTTTTAACTTAATAACGCAATTACCGCCTCCCGCCGCAAGGCTCGCAACCCTCTTATCCTCCTTGCTGCAACGCACCGATCCCGCGCCATTTTCTTCCTTTCCTCGAGTTTCTGCGTCGTTTTTGGCGCTCGAGTCGCCGCAATGGCCGCGATAAATCGTGGATCAAGTCTGTTCCTCCTTAAATTCACGTATGATCGTGATGTACAATTCTTTTTATCATCTTCTTTTGTTAAGAAACGTTTTGAGGTTAGGTTTTTGTATTAGTTTGGGACCTTACGCTTTACTACGATTGGAACTCTAAAAATTATGTTCAAAAATAGTCAAAAATGGAAAATAGATAGCGGAATATCGTGAATTAATTTCTGTTAGAATCTTTTAAGTTCTAAAAACGGTAAGGTTCATTTTCATGGCGAGTTTCTAATTTTGATTGAAAAGTGCTGCCAATGAAAAGAAAAGACAGTTCAGGATTTTCAAAAATGGCGCGCTACACGAAAGAGCAACGCGTCTTCATTGTGTTTTGACCAATATTTACAATTTTCAATTAAAAACCTGTATTTTCTCTCAAAATTATTTTTCTAGTGAATTTTGGGACTCTCGATGTAATAAAAAAAATTTGAAACCAGTCATTTTGATCTGTTCGGTAATTCTAGTTCGAACATAACCTCAATAGAGAATGTGGAAAGTAAATAACAAGGATATCTAGATTAGACCGGTATTTATTTGCCAAGAAATCTTTTCTATTTTACCCGAACTAGATGAAATTCTGGAGAATCGAAAGTACCGTGGCGCTTATAGAAAATAGGGGACGTTTAGGGCGCAATTTCTATGGAAGCCATCGACAGCGATACGATCTCTCACCGGCGTACGGGGATAATAGAGAAATATTATTTGGACGACGGGAAAAATCGAGATTCGCCGATGGAAATGATTTTCGAGCTGGTTACAGTCATTAGATCCTTACGGTCTTCCATTATCCTTAATGTCAGGCCTGTTCTTGCCAAGTATAATGGAATTATAAGACGATCTTCTCGTACAGTTAATGGCGGTCAGTGACAACGGGAATGAAGAGTCGAGTGGACCCAAATAAATTTTTTTAAAATCACCAATCCCCTGTAACCCTGTTTCCCTTTTCATAATGTCATCCTTCGTTTTGGAACAAGCTGCAGAAAAATTTCTGCCCTTTTCAATATATCACTTATGACTATAATTTCTTTGCTTCAAAAATTGGTAAGAATACAATGGTAAAATGGTAATTGTTAATGAAACAAAGTTAAAAATATGTATGGCGTTGTAGAGGATTAAAGCGATAACAGTTTCGTTAGATAATCGGGATGATTATTGTACGTGTTGTAAAATTATTTAGAAAATTTATCATATATGCACACTGTACACATGGGGACTATTGAAAGGATCATTGGTCGACTTACAGCTGCCCGGCAGTAAACCCGAGGCGGGAGAAAATTTATCGTTCGACACTCGCCAGGATTATAACATCTTCGTTCGGAAATGATTTAAACGGCACTCAACGGGTCGCATATTCGACGCGAAATTGCCCATTCCGACGTTCTATTATTTTATGAGTCGGTTTATGATTGTACCGACCCCGGCAACAGTTGGTGACATTTTTCTCAGTCGATATTAACGCTAAATCTACCGTAGTCGAATGAATGGATAAGAAGAATTACACGAATATTGGAAGAAAAATCGTGAAGGCAAATAATTCGGGAAAATGTTCGGGAAAATCAGGGGGAAACGTTGAACACGGAATTTTTGAAAAATGTTCTGGAAAATGGGGGAAAACGTTGAACACGGAATTTTTAAAAAATGTTGGGGAAAATTGAGGAAAACTTGGAACACGGAATTTTTAAAATATGTTCTGGAAAATCGGAGAAAACGTTGAGCACGGAATTTTTGAAAAATGTTGTGGAAAATGGGGGAAATCGTTGAACACGGAATTTTTAAAAAATGTTGGAGAAAATTGAGGAAAACTTGGAACACGGAATTTTTAAAAAATGTTGGGGAAAATTGAGGAAAACTTGGAACACGGAATTTGTAAAAAATGTTCGGGAAAATGGGGGAAAACGTTGAACACGAAATTTGTAAAAAATGTTCGGGAAAATCGGGGAAAACGTTGAACACGGAACTTTTAAAAAACAGTCATGGCCCATTTTGCCAGTAGATAATATCCCATTGACCCGCAGGCATGCTATCTCCACCGCCATGAGATATCGACTTATATTTAGCTGCCGAATACCAGGAAAACGATATCTAAAAAGTTCTGTAATTAATATGTTAACCTTTTCAACCTTCTAT